TTTACATGGAGAAGAGGGAAAAGAGGAGAAGAAACCCCACTTTTAAGGTATCCTGCTCCTCTATGAAGAATGTTGGGCCTTGTTCCTGCTTGCCCGTTCAGTTCCAAATCTCTTTACTGACATGAAGAGATGGAGAGCAAATTGTATTTTCAGTTTAATAGCAATGCTTAGCATCTTTCAGTAACTTCAATGGCCAATAGGTGGGCTTATTTTCAACTGCATTATTACTTCAAGTAAAATACATGCAATACTGTGCGCTACCTGGCTGTGTTTTCTAAACTGCTTTCAGGCACCCAAGAGGTACAGTTCTAAAGAGTGTGGCTGAAAGGTACACATTTGTACCTGCAAATAAATATCAGCAACCTATCTGAGGAGAAAAATGTACATCCACAGCTACTGATCCAGAAGCAATTGGTTTTCCAGCAGGATCCTATATTTAATCTAAATTCTGCACCAGCTATATTAAATGTAACAAAGAAATGCAACCCAGAAATTACGCCTGGAGCCAAGTCCATTAAAGGTACTTCGGAATAACTAGAGACCAAGCACCTTAAAAGCACCAGAAGCTATTGATACTTAAGAGGGGGGCTGTGCATAATCTCAACCAATGCATTAGAGTGGGGAGGGAGAGGGAAAAAAAAAATCAGCCAAATTACGCTTGGTTAATTCAGAGTAACAGATCTGCCCCCAAGTGAATTGGAGGCCTTGAATTAATTCTGTTATGACAAATCAAGATAAACGTTCCCCCTAAATTGCATGCGATTTAATTAATTTTTGAGATCCTGGTTTTTTTTTTTTTTTTTTTTTTTTTCTCCTAGCTAATAGTTCACATGCTCCTGTGCTGTCATTGTGCTTGAGTGGGCAGACTTCAAAGTGATATTAAATAACCAACTATTAGATTTACCTAGCACGTCCTATTGGAAAAGTGCCATTTAATTACCTAGCCTGTTCAATTAAAGGGACAGCATTCTCTGAATATAGCAGCTTGCTGTTGATTACCAGGGAAATGAACTCGCTGCCTGGCGGCGTCTCCATCCCTAACGCGAATCCCCTCCCCAAACACACCCTCCACCTCCGGCCAGCCCTAGACCCCCTGCCCGCCCTCAGCTCACCTCGGCTGCGGGCGCCACGTGAACCGCCCGAGTGGAGCCAGGGACCTGAGCGCCACCGCGCCGCTCCTGCCCTGCGCTCGCCCCCTCTCGGGCCCCGCAGCCCCCAGGGCGGCCAGGCCCAGCCATCACCACCCATCCAAGTCCCTCCACCGGCCGCGGCCCCACCTAGAGGCCCCCGAACTTCCTCCCTTCACTGCACTTTCCGCGCCAGTCTCCCAGCCCGAAGTGGGTGGGGGTTCGGGGAAAGAGAACCCGAGTTCCCAAAGCTTCTTGGTGGCGCTGGGGTGGAGCTGAGGGGTCGGGAGCCGAGGATGGAGGGGGGGCAGCTGCAAGGTTCCCCGACTTTTGGAAGGTGGGGGGGGTCAGGGAGACGTGGGTCCCTTTAAGACCCACCCTCCCCCTCCTCCCTACACCCCGCTTCCAGCCTTTCCCTCCCTCTCTTGGAGGCCAATTTTGTTAATTAAATGTTTTGTTTGCGACGCAGCTCTCATTCATTGCGGACACGTCATTCGGAGCAGATCTAAGCCAGAGACCAGATCTCATTAGATAAAGCCCATCAGAACTAAGAAAATGGAGGAGCCACTAATTAAAGCTTTTAATTGTGCAGATTCGATGCAGCAAGGCCGCCGCTTTATCTGAAATCTTGGAGGGAGAGAAGGCAGAAGCCCAGCTCTGCCCAATCGACACTGGGCCACCACCAAGGGGGAGGGGACTGGGGAACCATCCCTCTCGCCTTCCTACCCCGCCCCCCGCTGGCCTCTCCCAGCTCTCCCGGAGCTTTTCAGCCAGATCTTGGGTTGTTTAAACACACACACACACACACACACACACACACACACACCTCAAAGTTAAGACAGTTTATTAAAAAGCCCCTTAATAAATCGTTCTGTGGTCCCAGCCAGGCAGAGGGGTCCTCTTCACCTGGGCTCCACCCAACCAGTGGACTTAGGGGTGGTTGGGAAGAAGGCAGCACCTCCTTCACTTTCCCAACCTTTGGGCACCTTGAAGGACAGATGGGAAAAAAGTTGGGTTCCAGTTATGACTATAGGTGGGGGTTTGTCTGGGGGGTGCCCTGGCCAAAGATCAAAGCTGTTCAAATGGTACTTGACTAGAATTCACTGCTAGGCAGACTTAAGTTTCTCAGCATCTAGTTCAAGAGCAAGCTTAATTCCAGTTCCCAGATTCAAGAGGCAGAAAGAAGTAAGACTTCAAGATTATTTAAGGTTCAGGGCTGTGCACACGTCCTCCATCAGACCCCAAGAAAACACCCAAAGGGCATTTTTTATTTGGCTCCAAGAACAAGGGAAGGACTGGACTTCATTCCCAGGAAGCCACTTGTCTAAACTTGCCCCAAGGGAATCCAAGGGGACCTATCTTCTTTTTAATTAGTGGTAATCAGAAGCGAAAATAACACACCCCCCCCTTCCGAAGGCACTTGAAGAGATGAAACTGTACCATTCACCCAATCTTAACTGCACTGTCAATTTTTCCACTTCAAACCACTATCCTTTCTTACCACACTTTCACTCTCTATTTAATTACAATACTGTCAAAGCTCATGGCATCGCTTGGAAGGAGAACCAGAAAGCATTACACCCAGGCTCCTGCTGATTTTCCAACATTTACTTCTAAAAGAACACTTAGTGAAATTAATGCAGCCCTATTAATTTAAAAAGAAAAGCCCTGTCCCTCCCATATTTCTTTCACTTGACTGATTGAGGATGCCAGCAGAGTGGATATAGGTTGCATTATCAGAATAACCAAACGTCATTTTACTCCATCATTTTACACTAATGATATCACTAGAACGAACACACCCATACTCAGCTCCAAACTGCTCTGCACTATCAGCCACAGATGATGATAATCACAGTGGAGCTAAACTTTGAATAGAATGTCTCATCCACTGATTCTCCTGAAATGAAGACAGAAAAAGATTTTCTACTAATCACTATAAAGACAAAGGTTTAGGGCAGAAATCTAAATAGAAAGAAATTCTTTAAAGTATGCGGTTTTCTAATATCAACGGTGTGCCTGTGGTTTTTTTTTTTTTTTAATTACTGGATGTTGAAACAGAACACCTCCTAAAAGCATTCATGTGCATCAGTCTATCAAACCATTTGCTCAAATTAAATGTGTAATCCTTCAAATGCCTCCTTTCAAATTAATGAGTTTAAGTAGCTTGAGTTCACCTGAAAGAGCCTATAGGCACCTGACCTCTTGAATTCTTCCCATTAATTGCACTGAAACTTATGGGGAAAGACTGCTAACATGCACATTGACTGTTCCTATACATTGCTTTAAAATGCAAGATTAGTATAATTCTATAGCCTCTTTGCTCAATCTCTTTTGGGGATCAAGGGCAGTGCTACAAATGACAACAACAACAACAAAAACCCAAACCTGAACACTCTTCACATGAAAAAACAGCAAATTCTCTACCCAAAGCCACACACTAAGAGTGAAGTGAGACACCAAACCTCCTGGCAATCCTCTGAAGAGAAACATGATCACTCAGCTCTGTTTTTATAATATTATTATTATTATTATTATTGCTATTTGCTATAAAAAGAATTACAAGTCTTTCAACTGATGGGTAATCAGCGTTTTGCACCAGGAGCACAAAGAATGAGTCAGGGCTTTGCACACAAAAGTTGAAAAGTGCTTATGTAAATATCATGATTAGCCATCACTACAGATGACTATTTCCCACTAACTGCACTTTTATTTTTATGTAAACCTTTTGTCTGAGTTTCTCTGCGGGTCCAGCCTTGCTCTAAGAAGCGCCTTACCACCCACCCACGTTAGACGTGCTCGCTTTTAACCTGAAGCCCAGCTGACACTTTGAATTTTAGTGCAATGGGCATTCAACCTTTGCCCACCTCAACCGCCCAATACCACCAGAGCGGAGTTTTTACCTTAATCAGTCATCCAATACCGGAAGCCTAACACATGCTTCTTGAGTCCCTTGCATGCCCCCACCTAGGTTTGTCAAGTGCTGCCTGTCATGTATTCCCACTCATGCCCGCTCCTTTCCTTCAAACCCCGGGTCACCCTCGGCCGGCCACTGCTGGGCTCGCCCATCTCGGGGAAAGGCAGTCGACTCACCTAATGTAGTCGTTTCTGCAGAGGATCATGCCGCTCTTGGTGTAGCAGGACGTGCCGATGTCACCCAGCTGCGCCTGGCAGCAAGAGCACTTGAGGCAGCGGCTGTGCCAGTAGCTGTCCATGGCATAGAGCAGAAAGCGGTCCGCAATCTTGCCCCCGCAGCCCGCGCAGCGCTTCCAGGAGAGGGAGCCGGCCGTCACCGGGGGCGGCTGCGAGCTGCTGCCCGGGTTCACCATGGTCTGCAGAGGGCGGGAAAGGGGGTCGGGGAGAGAGAAAAGACAAAATGGGCGATGCAAAAGTTAGTAGGCAATGGCCAGGGTCGAGAGCAAGCGCGGTCCCCTCCTCCCTCCCCGGAGCCGCTGGAAGGGAAGCAGCAGCAGAGCCAGGGCGGGAAGGAGGCCGAAGCGAGAGACGGAGAGGAAGGAGGCTCGCCGGCAGCAGCCGCCTGTTTACTTTTCTCAAGCTTTGTTCTGGGGCCACGAGCTGCTCTCAACTTTCCAAAGCGCTCGCCGCCGCTGACAATTTCAGCTCGGGGACTGTCAAAACTCAGAGAGCGAGGCTCGGCGGCGCTCCACCCCTCGCGGTGCCTCCTCCCCCCTCCTCCCGCTCCCCC